ATATGTATGTATATATAATATAAGTATGTATGTATGTATGTGTGTCTGTATATATATATATATTTATATATATGTGTGTGTTTGTATGTATGTGTTTATTTATTAAAGCTCAAACAACGGTCAGAATAATATGCGGTAGACTTAACTATTCACCGCACCACCTACTACCCAGCGATACATCCAGTCAGAATACACCGCCCACACACGCAGATATCATACCGAGTGCTCTGCTATTGGTTGTGTCTCTCTCGCATACACCCCTAAGACTCAGAATGGTACCACAACCCAGATTAGACCGTGTGCATTAGTTTTTAAAATGAATTTGACCGCGGCGATGTGTCACAGAACAATACATATACTGCTACTCGTCCGGCCTATACTGGCGAAGAAGTACAACTTGGGGTTGTTAAACTGGAACAAACTGCTAATGTAGTAACAGATAAGTATATTCTTTTAGCTTCTGCGGCTCAATGAGTTCAGTTTCACCGATCTTCACTATCCAGTCCAACAACATGTTTCTGTAAATAGGAGACCAATGAACCATATGCACTTACTTGTACACAATCTACACAGAGTCCTGTATGATTACATGTATGTCGGCATATACCCATTCAACTCGGAACATCACGGTAGTCTACTCTTGACTGAACGGTTCCCCATTGTTTGTCGACAGGGAACCGACCCCAGCGATACAGTCAACAATAAAACGCGTACGAACACACAACGTAGCCCAAGCCCTGATCGCAGCGGAGACCTGAGTGATGACAGTACAACACCGGACGACAATTGGTCAGGCAGCCATCCCAACGATGTGGGCAGAGTGGATGATCGCACGATCAGGCAGATACGGGATATGATCGAGGGCCGTACTATGAGCGTGCGCACAGGTAGAGCGCGTGTAAGTATTCTACACGTATTCGATGTTACGGATATATCTGTGTATATATGGATATGTATGGGAGGTTGTATGCCTACGTATAGATGCCGTTTTATGCGTACATATATGTGGGGAGATTGGCTGTTTGCAATATAGTGTACATATATATATATATATAATATATATATATATATATATATATATATATATATATACATATTATTTTTCTATTTTTATTTCTATACGTGCAATATAAATCGTTTAGAATGGTGTTTACATTATTTTTAATATGCAATAGTCTCGATGTTTTGGGTTCAATACTCTCTCTCCTCACCCGTACGATTCCACCTTAAACTATATCCACACGCACGTATTCAACACTCACATACCACACCCACACGCCCATGCTTTCCCACACACACACCGCGTTTCTCACCCTACTATTCACACTCACGCCCCTAACCCTCTCCCAAGGGTTTACAGACCCCTTCACCCACCCCTCTCAACCCTGGGTCCTGCTCAGCAACTCTTCACCACTACGTGCCACCCCACGCACCGACTCTCGCGTGCGCAGCCGCACGGATCACGCGACACCGGACAGACCACGGACACGCGACCACCCACACAGGCCAGAGAACAGTGGCAGTCGAAGTAGCACCAGCACAAGCTCACCTGCGCTGAATGGCGCGCCGACAGACCTGTCGGCACGCGATATGCCAGAACTGATGGCCGACGAGAGTGATGGGGACTACGCGGTGCGGTTACAGGTGTGTTTGGCTCGTAGGCGTGGACGTGTAGGGGGCGTGTAGGTGTGGTTGCTTGTGTAGTTAGTGGGGGGGGTAAGGTGTGTGTGGGGGGGGTGGAGGTGGGCTGGAAGTATTCAGGAAAGGAGTACCCGCGTAGATACTGCGTTCAAACCATATTTGCTATGGCTATTTTCTCTGTATAATCAAATTAACCCACTTAGACCACTGCAAATGTCTACTCTATACACACAAGTTCTGTATACACACAGGCATATATACGGATCACCCCACAACACTTCTCGTTCACCACATCTCAACTCAACCCAATCGCAGGCCTATTTCGACTACGAAGAGCGTCGTATGCGCTGGTTACAAACGCGTGTCCAGTCCGAAACTTCGCCTCGAGCACAGAGCCAACGCAACATTCCAGTCCCCATAGAGGTGCAACCCATATCACCCACTACCGAACTGGTAGACGGCTCGGTATGGGATACTTATATATTGAACTATTTATAGAACGAGAGAAGCTTAAATTTGCTGATCCTAACATTAGGTTGTACCGTATGATGCAAACAAGTCGCATGATGATATTGTACCGATATAGAGCACTAACTATCGGCATATATGCAAGTGTGTTTCGACTGCTAAAGCCTCGGTATTTTCTCACTATCTTGTCATGATGGATGCCGGATGAAGCCAATAGTTTGAATGGTAGCTATATACCTATGCATTACACGGGTTGTGAGCTTGTATACAGTACTATTTACCTATGCATTACACGTGCTGTGAGCTTATATACAGTTCTATTTCCATTACTACCGTCTCTTAATCCCTCACCATGTCGTCATGACGGCGGATGATGCCAGCAGAACGTATAACGATTGTATATTTTTACACTGCACAACATATGAAGTTACGTACAAGACTATTTCGGCTGATGCCAGTAGACCGTATGATGATTATACATCTTTACACTGCACAGCATATAAGGTTACATACAAGACTATTTCGGCTGCTGTATCCTTCATTGCTAACACTATCTCATCACATAGGTGAACGACGCAAATAACACGCACGATGCCGCGAGTGACGCCAGACTGGCAGCCACCATGCAAGCCAGCTTTGCGAATGAGTATCTGCCGGACGATCAGAATGCCAGTATGTGGACCGACCCATACCCAAATACGACCTACTGTGACATGAGCGAACTTCCCGTACAGGAGTTATTAGTTTGACATACTGTGTACGGATCACTCTGTCGCTGTATCTTAATTGCTTGTCAGTTACTGAATCGTCGGTACATAGTAGTTTGGTTTTATTGTACTTTGACTTTATCACCTTTTGGAAACTTCAAGTGATCACTTATGTTTGGTAACAGCTCGTTTTGTTCACACCTTTACAGGGTGGGTGATAATTGCGCATTCGTTGCCTGTAGTACCGTACACGGTGAACACCTTCAAAACTCAGGAAGAGCTCGCCGAAGTCGCCACAGAGGACATCGAATGTCAGGT